ACACACATACATACATACATACATACATACATACACACACACACACACTCCCTCCATCCCAAAAAAAATTGCAACATTACGCAAAACGAAGCAAGTTTTTGAGTTTTTTCAATTCACTTTATTTAAAGATTGGTATAGAAATAAAAATAAAACTCACATATTTAAAAACTACGTCAAAAGTTCTACAAAACAAGAGGTTAGAAGAATATTTTATTTTATCAAATAAACAATCAAAACACACAAATAAACAAAAGTTCTCGTGAATTTTGAATAGTGAAGCGTGGCAATCTTTTTGGGATGGAGGGAGTATTTTATGTCATTTGTGTGTGTGTGTGTATCTACATATATGCATACACACACACACACACACATATATATATATAGGTTGCCTGATTGTAGCCTAGGCATGCGCCTAATGGCCTAGGTGATATGAAGGCACATCTGCGCCTCGACTTGCCCTATCGCCGTAACAACCTTAAAACTCCAGTTGCACTCCTCCCACTTCAACCAACCCACCTTTACTAGATTTTCATAATCTCCATCTTGTTGCATGATAGAACTTATAATCTAAAACGATCACTGACCGAGATCTTTTGATCTTCTATAGTTACTAAACTTGCATTCCATATATTCTGCTTCAATTCTACTGAGTCTCAAACCCTTACCTTTTTAATCAAAAGGGATGGGGGAACCCGAACTTGTAGCTCAACAAACACAAGGTCGCGTGGCATGACGTGGTTATGCTCATCAAGTCATCCGCTCATAAAGACTTCAGATCCATTGTAGGAACCTCAAAACTTCTCCAATTGATGTCTTGATTGGCACCAAAGTTAACCAGACGATCCGCCACCCTGTTTTGTTCCCGAAATATAGCTTTGAAGCTGATTCTTCGGAACCTAGCCTTCTAGTTTTCGATAGCTGAAATAGACTTCCGCATGGGTCCTCGCAAAATGGTTTACCCGTAATCCATGTGACTACTTCTGCAGCATCAAACTGCACCTCAAGATCTCTCGCCCCTCTCTTCCATGTCATTGAATTCCTTTTTGGATGGCTTTGGCCTCAATATCTTTATTATTAGTTGGCATGCAAAGCCACCCAACCATTCTCCATTGCTGCATGACTCCGCCGCACCCAATCCTGTTTGCTTTTATTTTTTTGCTCCCATCGACATTCAAAGTGAACTCATGGTTAACAGCCGGTTTCCACTTTAGTATCCGATCTCTAGCAGTCAGAAAAGGAGGGAGTTACTGCGTGCTGTTTTTAAAAGGAACCAGTAATCTATTTGGATGATTCCTTGATCCATTCTAATTTGCGTAGGATGTCAACGTCTTCACCACCAAAAGGCAACGTTGTTTCATCGCCTCCAAATCCACTAACAAGTGATGGCAAAGGTTGCAGCCCAGTTACTTTCAGTGTGCCTGTTCTTCAGTCTCTTTAGGCTGACACCAATCCATCTCATCTCAGTGTGACCAATCCATCTCCTCATCTTTTGTCTCTTATCATCAACAATGTTCCAGATTTGCCTTGCTTTTCGGCACGCTCTGAATATGTGAGAAATGGTCTCGTCGTGACGGCTACAAAAAGGGCACGAGCTATCTCTTGTTAGGCTTCTTTTCCTTCGTTCAGCATTCCCCATCACCATTTCATGCCAGATAGTCCACAATAGGACCTTCAAACCCTTACCATTAACACCCATAGTAGCCCTTCTATCAAAACAGTATCACCAGCAAACATACACCAAGGTAAACCATCTTATATAGCCCCAACCCTAGAGATTTTGCATTAGAGATTAGTTGTTACACAGCTATTTATTTAGTCCCCCATATCACTTGTGGCATACATAACACCTTTTCTCTCATCTCTATTCCTTCACCGATTCCGAATCCAATTGAGTAACTACGTTGGTTAACTGATCTGTCCTTTTTAGCATTACATACTTGGAAAAAATATTACATCCACAATCTTCTGCAAGTGCCATATACTTAAGGTATTTGGGTATTGGAATCGTATATGATGCCAGTAACCTCAATCATGCCCAGGTTGTCGTATGTAGGACACATCTAATTAATACCCCCTTTGAATGCTCTAGGCTTTGAGCAACATTTCAACTCTTCGATATAACTGGATCTAGGATCCGTCATAAATACTTAAAAGCAGAAGTCTTCATTCAAAAATAATACAATCACTTTCTAACCCAACTCATAATTTGAAATTTCTGCAATGGTCTCATTCTACAAGTCTACAACAGTAGAGACTTAAGAAATATGAGCCATTAACCTTAATTCGAACCTACCTAAAACTAACCCTATCAAAACATAGAAAGTGTATGCTCAAAGAATATAACTCCATTGGCAATAACCCATCAACATAAACACAGATCAAAGGAAAGACCCCTGACAAAAAAAACACTTACAGAAGGCAGAGAAGAATGCCTTGTACTGACAATCATATAGAGAGTTCAAAAACTCAGAGAGATAAGGGATCTTGCCAATAACTGTCAAGATCTCTGGTGCATCTACTACCTGTATCATGTAGCAAGCATTGTAAAAGGAATATCAACAAGAAAGAAACCATCAATGCAGAAAGAGAAAGGAAGAAAATATTAAAAAACAGATTTTTATACCTTCTGCTTCAGGGAAACACGATCCAATGTAATGATGCTTGTGAGAACAGTATAGAATATGAATGTATCATAAGGGAAAAGCTCATAGGTTGTAAACGTTGAGATAGAATCAAGGAAAAGGTTAGCTGCTTTTTTGAAGTTGCGGGTTGACATGCAGAAAAGTCCTTCATAGACCTTCAACCGGTTCTTTCTTTCCCAATCACCCCCTTCTTCAAATAGGCTAACATTCAAGCAAATAAGCAATAATTATGAGAAAAAAAGACAATCACTGCAAATAATTACATCACCAGAAATTAATTTCACCAAAGATTCACTTCACCCATACTTCTTTGCTCTATCAATGCTTTTTGATATTAGGTCAAAGTCCATGTCAAAGAAACCCATCTGGAGTGTATAAAATACCAGGTCCATTTTCTGCCCAACAGCAACAGTTTTGCTCTCTGTCACCTTGAGCTGCTCCAAAGCTTTATCCTGAGTTTTATAGTGAAACAAAACCCCATTTAAAATTGGCAAAATGGACAATTTCAAATTCCAATACTTACAAATTAATATATACGCAGTAACATTCATGCTCACCTTATCACCTATGCGAATGTAAAACAGAGATTTTGCCAGGTGAGCCTCTCTGACTTCACTTTCTCCTAAATTTTCTTCTGCATCAGCAATCCTACATATATGCTAGCCAATTTGAGACAACATATACTAAAGAAATATGCATCCAAATGTTGTAGCCCCCCTTGCAAAAATATAAATACAAAAATACTGCAAACCAGAGGCCGTAGACAGGGAACACAACAATACCAAACCGAGTGTAATCCCTCAACTTGGGTCTGGGGAGGGTAGGATGTGCCTCCACCTGTGGAGGGAGAGGCTATTTCCGATAAACCCTCGGCTCAAAAAGGAATAAAACCAAAGTGAGTTGGTCGCAAAAATGCAAAATGCAATAAAAATAAGCTAGAAGATTAACGAGATACACTGAAAACAAAGCAACACATCCATGTTCACAAAAGAATAATCTGAACAAACAACTATGCATCCTCTAAGAACTACAAACACGCAATGAGAGATGGAAGGAACCTCTTAAATTAGAGAAAAAACACCTAAATATACTACTACCCTTCTACCCTAATGCTTGACCGCCGAAACTTCTTATGTAAGGTCATGTCCTTGGTAAGCATGAATCTAGCCATATCATGTTTAATACCCCCCCCCCCCAAAACCCACGCATTCACAACTCTCTTCTTCACATGTCTGAACCATTGCAGCCACACTTGCGTGAAAAATATATGTGCAGCAAAAATGCAAACTGCTCAGAAAAGTGAGTAATTCAGTATAGCCTTTTAAGCCCCATAACCATTTAACAACCTTTAAATAATTATAAAAACATAACAAATTTACAAATACAAAGGGCTAGCATAAGGAAATATAAAACTTTAAACAAATAGGAAAGTACAGATAGAAAATAAACTTCTACAACAGGCGCACGCACCAGAAAATAAAGCCATTTGACATCCCAACTTTTAGTAATAAAATTGCACATTAGGTCCACTTGGGTAAGAAACATACATGATGCAATTCAAGAAAAAACTTCAAACGCTTAGATCTTCTCCTTTTGTTTTATATGTAATGCAAAATTGCAAACAAATCACTCAAGCAAATTGATGCTGATTAATATAATTGTTACTATCAAACATTCATCAAAACAAGAGGGGAAAAAAGAGAATGCTGAGATAACTTCAAATCAGATAGAAAAAAGAGAAAACAGGATGTCAAAGAAGTAAATAATTGCTCCCCTATCCCATTGATTTTGAACCTTCTAACAAAATGCATCAGCATCAAAACAATGTTAACAACCAAACTGCCCCGACAAAATATTATGTTAATAGAATATGAATTAAAAAACTAATAACAAGCCTAGTAAAATCCAGCAAAAAGTAGGGTCTCGGGAGGGTGCACGTACACAGACCTTATCCCTACCCAAAAGTGGAGAGACTGTTTCCAATAGTCCCCCATCTCGAGCAAACCCAAACTTTAATGATTCACCACATGTATTGGAATCTATTACTCGCTGTCCAGAAACAAACTTCATGATTTGACTTCACAGATTTTAGAAAAGTGTTGAGAAGTAAAAAGATTGTGATAGAAATATATTTAAAGAAAGAAAACTTGTGAGGGTGCTTCACCTTTCCCTCATGGTACTTGTACGCTATCGGTCATTGAGGAATACTTAGGCTTAGAAGGTGGTCCCCCTTTCTTGCATAAAAGCGATTAGAAATCGAACACGACGCGTTTTACTTAAACCATGGGAACAAATCTACAGGGCTATCACCTTATTTGGCCTGATCTTCCAATTTTTTCACAATTACAGTTCACTGCGCCCGCTCCTTCTAGTGAAGGACGGCAACTTGAGAGCTTACTTTATTAGCCTTATTAGAAAGGAGTTCCTAGTTTTGGATTTTTCCAAATGAGTTCCTTCCTTAACAAGAAAAAGGAGATTTGTGAAGTTTGTTTTGGGACAGACAAAAAAAGATAAGTGTGAGATTTATTTTGTTTATTTTGGGATAGAGGGAGTATTTAAAAAAATAGCTCACCCTAAAAAGACAAATCAATGGAACTAAGAAAAAATGCCATATCGTCACTTGATGGAATGAACTTCGTAATATTCCACAGTTGGATTTCAATTGCAGGAAATATGATGCATACTGAATCTAAATCATTGATTATTTCTCATAGCCCAAAAAAACGCATCTCTAAATGACACATAATCCATGATTCATCTCTTATTTGACTTTATGGTTCAAATTTTGGTCACTACACTGTGAGGGATGGGATATGAACGAAGCATTGGTCTTCAAAGAAATCAAGCCCCTAGAATTAAATAACTTAATCCTCCAGGATAAAGTGGTGTAAAATGAACACGGAAAGCTCACTTTTCATCAAGCTTTTTGAGCTCCTCGTCAATCCTATCCCGCATCGAATTAAGAACCTTTGGATCCAAAGTCAGTATGCACTTCGCGACTAGGGTTTGGTACAAGGGAGCCATATCTGCGATCAAACAGGAGACAGTCAATTCCAAATATCACTCAAGAAAATTCAACAAATTCTAAATCCAGTAGGAAAAAAAAGCTAACCATTGGAGACGACGACATTGTACACCTCATCCCGGAGGCGAACTTTCTGCAGGTCGTCAACATCGGAGTTGGTAAGCAGAGAGATGTTTTTTGCTAAAATCAGGTGCTGGGTCTGTCTTCCTTCTCCTTCCATGGGTGCCTAAGCTATACCTGCCTTCGGAGACGAACAAGGTTGCTTACAAAGAGAGAAGGAACAAGGTGAAAGGTTGCTTGCACAAAGAGAGAACGAACAAGGTTAAGCTAGAACTTTCAACTTGGAGGGTCACGCTTCAACTTATAGGATAGATTCTTTATCTAAATACATTAATTGTAATTAATAAGGATCTGTTTGGTAAACGGAATGGACGGAATTGAAATTGAATTGCAAATTAAATTCTACGGAATTGATTTGGATGGAATTGAATTCTCCCATTTCAATTCAGTTTTGGCACTACCAATTCCAAATCCACATATTTTTCTGCTAGCAAACACCAAAATTGAAATTGTTGTCTTCAATTTCAATTTCATAGTTTGAATTCTGCGTACCAAACGGAGCCTAAATGTTTTTATTTATATATAAAGAAATCACCCTAGGTAGCACTCTAACTCATCTAATACTACGTATATAGCACTGCTTATTGTTTTTTACCAAATTAGCTATTTATGTTGTCAATCTCTTCCAATCATACCCTTTATGTTGTCAATCCCTTTTATCTATCTCACTATCAATTGTTTCAATTCTTTTTTCAACTCCTATATCAAATTCGGACTCACATAATGTATACTTTGTGGATAGTGGCATAGTACTCTTTTTTATCAAATTCTTTCTTCAATCAATTAAATGTAGTTTTGAATAAATATATATAATAAAAATACGATATATCAAAATTATATCATAAAAATATGCCAATTATAAATACTTCCTTCATCCTGAAATAGGGCTCTTATTCGATTTACGATGTTTGATTGAAGTTATTTTCAAATCAATATAAGTAAAAATTGGTGTATAATTAAAAAAAATAGGAATTATATATTAAAAAACTACATAAAAAATTCTATAAACAAGTGGTGACAATGAGACTTACATATAAAACTACCAATGTTATAAATTATTATTTTACTTTCATATTGTGCAAACAACTTGTGATTGATTTTATGACAATAGAGTTTTACCATGAAAGAGATTGTTATGAAATGTGTTACTCAATATGGTGGCTATAAATATTTTGGTAGTACGGATTGATCATGTTCTGCGAACACTTTCTGGCAGTGAATTTGTCTTCTATATATAATGTGGCAGTGTATAAAAGTTCGCGGCCTAAACAAATTTGTATGTACTTCATTAACTTCCATTAATAATATGGGAGTGAAATTAGACATACATATAAAACTACCAATGTTATGAATTTCGAATTGAGTTTCATATTGTGCAAAAGCCATGTGCTTCGTTCTATGACTATTGGGTTCGAACATTCAAGAGTTCGTTATGGAAACGTGTTACTAAATAGGGGCTGATATTTTTTTGATAGTGTGGAATAATCAACTTCTAGCTACACTTTTTGGAAATGTCCAATGACCATGTTTTGCCTAGTGTGTTTTAGTCAAATGGGATTTATATCTAAAAATCCCAATGTAATAAATTATTCATTGAGTTCCATTGGAAGCGGATACAAAAAAATCACCAAAATGACTAGTGCTTGAATAACTTTAATAAGCAAAGTATGAAGTGTAAGCTCAAAGATTTCTAGCAGTGTGGAATGTTTGTGATCTAGGTATACTTTTTGGCAGTGTGTTATATCCGATGTTTTGGCCAGTGTGCTATGTTGCACAATTCTACATAATTTTGCAGTGTATGATACTTACAAAGTCTTAAAATTTACAACATAATACCTTCAATTATCCATTTCTTTTCAGTACCACATAAATGAAATTGAACATTTGTCTAATACTAACATCTTCTAACATTATACAAAAGCAAGAAAGACCAAAAAAAGCCAAGCCCATGTTTGGCCAGTGTGTTTTGGTGTAATAGATTATTCATGAAATCAGTCATGTATTTTTGGGCAGTGTGGAATTCATAAATGAAAATAGTCATATACTCCATACATTTTTGGCAATGCGGAATTCATACATGAAAACAATGTGGAATTCATACATAAAAAGAGATATACATTTTTTGGGCAGTGTGAAATTCATACATGAAAATAGTCTTACACTTTTTGACAGTGTAAAATTTATACATAAAATCACTACCACATAAATCAATGGACATTACATTACAACATGAAATTAAGGAACACAATAATACATTTAGACACTACCGTAAGATATAACAACATAGATCCATTCTACACTGCCACATTAAATACTCACATATAAAAAAAACTACACTGCCCACAACACAATTACGAGTGAACAACTACACTGCCCAAAACAATCATATTTTTTGGCAGTGCATAATGAACATTTTCTGTTTAATTAAAGGTCAAAATTGGAATCATATGTACGAAACATATAGCACTGCTATTTAGAGTATTTTAGTGTTCTAGGAGTGCTATTATGGTTTTTCTCCCATATATATAGTTTTTCATATTTAGTCTTCAATTATAATATATTTCATAAAGAGTCCTCAGTTTTTGAAAATTATTTCACAAATAGTCCTTCTCACCAAATATGACAAAATGTTTTTAGTAAATTCTCAAAATGATTCTTTCTAATAATATTTTTTTTCAAAAAAATCTTCAATAAGCAAAAATTACTATATAACTGAAATCCATTTCCTAAATAGTCTTTTATCAAAAGGTGTTGGGTCTGTATTCCTAAATACTCTTTATTATCTAAACTATGAATAAGCCTTCAAAATGATTTTCTTAAATTAATGGGAGGCTATTAGAAGAAGAGATCCACCTCGAATTGGCTCATGAACTCCATTTTAAAAAAAATTACTTAAAAATTATCAATTTGAAAAAAATATTTAATTATAAAGAGGCATTTTGAAAACATACTTTAAGCCTAGATTTTAAAATATATCAAAATACATTCTAATTGACTGACATTTAATAGACATTTTAGGCAAAAGACTACTTAGGAAATAAATCTAAATTATAAAGGACCATGTTGATAATTATTGTTTATTGTTAGCCTCCCACTTAATTTAAAAAAATTATTTTGAGAACTTATTGATACTTTAGATAATAAAGAGCATCAAAATACTCTATATTTAATTGTCATTTAATAGGCATTTTTGATAAACGACTATTTAAGAAACACATTTCAATTATAAAGAACCACGTTAGTAATTTTTGCTACTTTCAAAAAATACATTATTAGAAAAGACTATTTTTATAATTTACATAAAATATTTTATCATAATTGGTGAAAATTATATGTGGAATAGTATTCAAATTATGGACTATTTATGGAATATCTTATAATTGGAGACTAAATATGGAAAACTACATGTAATTCGGGACCATTTATAGAATTTACTCTTGTAATTATATCTAGGCCCTCTTATTTTGGATGAGTACTTAAAAGAGACATCCAGATGTACTGTATTTTCTGTATATCTGCATGAATACTCATTTCCGAGTAATAGAGCATTCATTTTCGAATAACTGCATTTTAGAAAAATTAGTATACAGTTACTCAAAAATGAGTATTTAATTGCTCAAAAATGAATATTCAGTTACTCGCAAATGAGTTCTCACTCCGGATGTACGGGAAACACTGTACAACCAGTTATACGAAATATGTTGTGCGTTTGGGTTGGAATTTTAAAATTGGATGTTGAAACAAATTGTAAAAAATTGGAATAAAATGAAAGGAATTAGAAAAAATTAGAAAGAGTTGGGAAGTTTAGAATAATTTAAAAATTCATTCAATTAAATGATCATCCAAATAAATATGTAAGAAAATTCTAACTTTAGATTAGTATGTTACAAATTAGAATATATCATGTTATTTTATATTTATCATATATAAATATCTTTTTATGTCGTTGTTAGAAGCAACTGGAAAGTTTTGGAAGGAATCGAAAGGAGTTGAAAAAAACTAGAACGAGTTGAAAAAAAATTATAAATTAATTTTTCTAATCCTAAAGAACAAGGTCTTAAAATTGTTTTTTTATCCTACCAAATTTTAATAAAAATAAGTATTTCTTAATAAGTAAAACCAATAACTTGTAGAGAACAAGCTCTTAAGATAAGGTGTATGGGTAACAGATTGAGGGGTGTATTCAATCAAGATTCTGTTAAATTTTTTTGGATTCTGAAAATTTGTAGGTATTCAATTTAGACTTTAAAAAGTCATTCAAAATCAAATTGTATCCAATTCACATTTGAAAAAATCCTTCTAAATATGATGGCATTCAAAAATTGATTAATTTTTAAAGATTTTTACTATTGTGAATTTTGATGGATTTTTATGTGTTGTTTATAAATACAAATTCACGTTCCAAATTCAACCAACCGCCCTTGGATTTTGCACACTCATCTTCTTCTTCTTCACAAATAGATTTCACGCAGCTTCTCCTTCGATATAATGGCGGCAACACCAACACACAACGACAATCGTCCATCGATCGGCGACCAGCTTCAGCATCGGCGATCGTCTGTCACATTCGACGCCTCCCCGTCTTATCCTTCTTAGATCAGGCACAACATCAACATCGGCCGTGACGGAGCTCGAAGTAGGGCGACTCTCTCTATTCCGGCAATGGTGATCGGAGAAAAAACCCAACATCGTCAGCTCGTTTTGGCTATGGTGGAAGTCAAGCAAGGGATATTTATCTTTTTTCTTTCTAATCTCTATTTCCCACTTGAAATCAAATCTAGATTTCCAAAATTTTGGACCTAAAAAGTTTTTTGTGGAAATCCAAATCGTCGGATGGATATGGGAGAAACCCATAATATTGCTCATTTTTGTTCTTCTAAAAGAATATTACTCATTTTTGTTTAAGGAAAACAAAAATGAGAACTCTCCTGGGAAAAAATGATGGCATATCCACTGTATTCTTCGCGTATGAGATACATTAGAGACCTAAAGGCATATCAATTTCAGTGTAGAACAATCGATGTAAGAGCCTTAACCTTAATTACTCGTATTTTTGTCCATCTGTAATATTGGGAAATCCTATAAAATCTAACCAAATCCTAATAATTCAATACTTTAAAATCTATCCAAATTCATATGGAATTAAAACAAACTATAAATTCTATGGAATCCATGGATTATAAAATACGGAGTACCAGTCAAAATCTTTTGAAATCTAAATTGAATATACCCCGAGTTTTTTTAATAGGCCGAGTTGATGGACTATGGGTAAAGCAGACGCGCTGAGTTGGGTTCGGATAGGTGGTTTGCTAGATTGGGTAGGGTCGGGCTATAATAATATCTCTTATTATCATTCGATAAAATGGTTGTCTTTCAGCTTTATTTTGGCTTTTTTTTAAAAATAATGTTATGGTTCAATTATTTTTTCCAAAATAAAAAATATTTAGTGTTTTTTTAACAAAGCACAAATTATATTAACTCCAAAGATCAGTTTCCAGTACATCAAAAGAGAAACACACAACACTAAAAATTAGCACTTAACGATAGTGTTTTTGTCTTATCTAAATCATTCTTTTGTATAAGTAGAGAAAAAATATAAATCATTTGACATCACTAATTTCTAATGCAAAATTAACATCGTTAGTCTTAGATAATTTTTTTATTACTTTGATTTATAAAATGCAATGTAGAGTTATTTGATTGATGGAGACATCTATCCTTAGATTATTTATGCCCATTTTTCTTTCAACTAAGATTCAAAAAAGCATTGCTTCATTTGCCGCCTTATTTTTGTTACATGGATTAGTGACATGCAAATTAAGAAACATTTTCTACATGTAGCACATAGTCAATGCAACTTTCAACGCTCATAATGGGTCATCGAGAAGCAGCCGCTCTATGTTTTAAGCATAGGGTCAGACAGCGTACAACTGTCTCCCTTACACTGCAATAGGCGGGAGCCGTTGAGGCACTTGGGTTAGGTGGTGGACAAGCCGTTAAACATAGCACAACATTCTCTATAATATAACAGTGTTTGTCGAATCGCCTTTCTATAAAACACTCCTCAACTTCTAGACCTGACAAAACAGAATCGAAATGATTATCCAAATCAGATTATCCAAAACCAAAACCGAAGTGATCTGAAAAATAAAGATGCGATCTATAATAAAAAACCCGAAATGTTCCAAACCGAACTGAAACCGAACTAAATAATTATTATATCCGATTTAAATCCAAAACCAATTAAATCCGAAATCGATTATATTCGAATCGAATAAACCCGAAACCGATTATATCTGAAACCAATAATATCCGAAACTGGTAAAACCTGAAACCGATAAAATCCAAAGCCGTGTTTGCTTTTCTATAACCATATAATATTTTTAAATTTTTATTTATATTTTCCATTTGAACTAATTTCATTATTTGCTCATTTTCTCATAAAATGGATTTTCATTTAAAAAAATTACATCGGGGTACTAAATATCATGCCTTAAATTTATTATATTTCGGAAATGAACAAAAAATATACACAAAAAATATGAGATGAATAAAGTGAACCAACTGTTTTGTTAATAACAAAATTAAGTGTAATAAAATATTTGAAAAATAAAGTGAAGCATCATTTGAAAGAAACTAGGTCTAAATTTATCTTTTATTTTTGTATTTATAAACACAAAGATATTAGTAGACGTGATAAAAATTTAGTTTATTAAAACTAAATTTTAAAATCAATTTAATTATATAACTTTATATCATACGGAGTAATTAAATATATATTTTTTCTTAATTTATAGTCTAAATTTGTAAAATATGACTAAAAAGTCAAAAAAGGAAGATTATTTAGGGTGGCCATAGTATAACTAGAAAAAATATAAATTAATTTGAGATGTTGAATTGATGATAGATTGATAAATGTAATAAAACAAAAAAAAGAAAAGAAACATTGATAATTAAATTTAAATTAGAAAATAATACATATCCAAAATATATTCAATCGAAATATAACCAAACATAAACATATTCGAAATTAAAATATATCCGAAACGAACTAGATCCGAAACTGAAATATATTCGATCCAAATTGTATCCGAATTGAAATCAATCCGAACCGATTTATCTCCGAACCGTATCTGAACCGACTCGAAACTGAATCGAAACCAAAAAATGTATAGAACTGAATAAAATCTAAACTGAAATTAAATCGATCCGAACCCAACCGAACCGAACCAAGTATAACATATATACAAAAGATATCCAAACCGAAAAAGTCCAATCCAAAACCGATCCGGTTGACCCGATTGCCACCTCTATCCACTTCAACCAACCCACCTTTACTACATGTTCATAATCTCCATCTCTTTGCACAATAGAACCCAAAATCTATAACGATCACTGATCGAGATATTTTGATATTACTAAACATGCATTTCATATAATCCGCTTCACTTCTATTGAGTCTCAACCCTTCGATTGTAATGCATTCGTCCAATCTCTCTATCTTCTCAATTACACCAAGAGTAGCGAGTCTACGAAAAGAGTGTCATCTGCAAACAACATCCACCAAGGTAAACCCATAGTTATTTAAGGTGTGATGCACACCGATGCACAAAGGGGCTCTAGTGCCTTGATGCGCGATGCGCTATTGATGCGCGCACATCACGAACAACACAATGCGCACATTGAGGCATAAGTAGCATAGCATCTCTAAAATAGTAACAGTACATATGAAATGTTGAAAAGCATAAGAAAATTTGAAGAAAAAAAAACAACTAAGAATCAAAGTATAGACTTCATGGGTTTTGTTACAAATTAGACAGATGGTGTCACTCCTATTTGTTTTTGAGAACCTCCTAACATACTTCCATCAGGAAAATTAGAATTTCTTCCATACATGAAACTCGAAAGAGTGTACAAAAATATAAATACAAGATGGAAAAGAGGGGAAACCTCACAAAAAAGAACCTGAAAAATACTGTGAAAACAAAATAATGGGAGCGACTACCTTACTAACCTGATTCTCAAATCTTATTCTCAAATCTCAGATACTACATCAACTTTTATTCTCAAACCCGAGAAAAAAATATTATATCTAATTCTAAAGCAAAATTGCAAGTTACAGTAAATAAAAAACTGAAATTCATAAAAAAACAGCTCGTACTATAATGATTGAATTCTCAAATATTTTGCTACATCAGTTTTTCTCTCAAATGTCAAACACATAAAAAATAAAAAACAATTAAAATTAAAAACAAAAAATAATTAAATAAATAACTTAAGAGGGATATAGATATGGACTGTGACTTCAACGCAGTTCAAGTCTGCAAAGGATTAGAAGTAGGTTTTTTTTAATAAATGAAGTTTTGATCGGGTCGGGTTGGGTCAGTTTTCACAGGAAAAGACATCGATAAAAAAAATAAAAAGTTAGAGGTGTGTACATGATGCACGCCTTATAGCGCATTCAACTGCATCGCCTAATACGCAGATGCGCAGATATGTGTGTGCTAAAGAACCTCGCCTGCATCGCAAAAAAATTCTGCAGACCCTCATGCGCATAGGCGCGCTTTTAATAACTATGGGTAAACCATCTTGTATAGCCCCAACCCTACTCATTTAGGACTAAAGTTGAGTTGTTTCATAGATCTTTAGTCCCACACATCACTCGCGGCATAAATAACACATTTTCTCTCATCTCTACTCCTTCACCAATTTCGAATCCAATTGAGCAATCAAGTTAGTTAATCGATCTGTCCTTTTTAAGCATTATATACTTGGGAGATATATTCCATTTAAGTATTTGGGTATTGGAATCGTATATGATGATAGTAACCTCAATCATGCTCAGATTGTTGTATGTAGGACACATCTAATTAATACCCCCTTTGAATGCTCTAGGCTTTGAACAACATTTCAACCCTTCCATGTCACTGGATCTAAGATTTTTCAAAAATATTTAAAAGCAGAAGCCTTCAACAAACTAATATAATCATTTTCTAACCCAACCCATAATTTGAAATATCTGCAATGGTCTCATGCTACAAGGTATGAGATATGAACCATTAACGTTAATACAACTTCATTGGCAATAACACATTATCACATACACAAATAAAAGGAAAGACCTCTGACAAAAAAATAAATACACTTACAGAAGACGGAGAAGAATGCCTTGTACAGTCAAGATCTCTGGTGCATGAGTGCATCTGCTATCTGTAGCATAGAGCAAGCATTATAAAAGGAATATTAAATGGAAAGAAAGCATCAATGCAGAAAAAAAAAGGAAATATATTTTAAAGAACAGATTTTTACCTTCTGCTTCAGGCAAACACAATACAATGTAATAATGCTTGAAGAACAGTATAGAATACAAAAGCATCATAACAGAACAGCTCATAGGTGGTAAAAGTTGAGATAGAATCAGGGAAAACGTTAGCTCCTTTTTTGAAGTTGCGGGTTGACATGCAGAAAAGTCCTTCATAGACCTTGAACCGGTTCTTTCTCTCCCAATAACCCCCTTTTTCAAATAAGCTTCCATTCACGCAAATAAGAAATAATTATGAGAAGAAAGGAGAATCACTGAGAATAATTACAGCTCCAGAAATTAACTTCACTAAAGATTCCCTTCTCCCATACGGCCATACTTCTTTTCCCTATCAATGCTTTTTGATATTTGGTCAAAGTCCAAGTCAAAAAAACCCCTTTGGAGTGTATAAAAGACCAGGCCCATTTTCTGCCCAACAGCAACAGTTTTGCTCTCTGTCACCTTGAGCTGCTCTAAAGCTTTATCCTGAGTTTTATAGTGAAACAGAACCCCATTCAAAATTGGCAAAATGCACAATTACAAATTTCAATGATATCAGATTAATATATAACATCCATGCTCACCTTGTCACCTATACGAATGTAAAACAGATATCGCCAGGTGAGCACATGCTTCCAGTCACCTCAGGTTCACAATAAATTCACCTCAAGTTTCCAGTAGCTCCAAGCTTCCACAATGTTGCAAGAAGTGAAACATCTGCAAATGATCTAACCAAAAAGGTTGTACGAGAGAGCTAGAGGTTCAATGATGGAAAATCTTCTGTCTCGCCTCCACAATGATTCGAACTCATGACCTTCCACAAGGGGAGTCTTAGGTGTGGAGTGGTTACGAAATGGACCACTCCAACTTCTCTTGTGTAAGAGGTATTTGGGACGCAGTTCTGAAGTGGCTAAAGATTAGCCATAATCCGAATGATCCTAACTTGGCATTGAAATTTGAAGAAGCTCAAACAAAGAGTGTGCAGAGCTATCCATCCGTGCTGCTATACTGGATTTGGAACACAAGAAAAAACAAGTATTTCCAGGGCAAGGCAATGGAAACTTCTGTTGTTTACGCCTCCTTTATCTCCCTTGCAAAGGATAGCTTTTGCTTTTTGGCCTCTTGTAGCAAAAAAAACAATTAATTGGGAGCATCCGTAGAGGATAGTAATTTATCGAAATTCTATACTCTGACCACATGATCAACATCTACAGTTTATATTCTTTCTAGTCGTCCTTCCTCGAGGGGAGTTGTTGATTGTTGAGAAAACTCCCAGCCTGGGTTTTAAAAAAACCTGGACAGCATCATATATTAGCTAATACAAGTGAGGCAAATATTGGAGTTCAATCAGTTGCCAAAAAAATTTAATCATAAAGGTGAGCGAATACAAAGACTACACATGAAAAACGAAGAACAAACATCATTTTCATTATAATATAGCTGATTTTAAATGTTAAACAAACAAATAGTACCACATATCATAATGTTGGATTACATCGCACCAGTTCTTACAAATTGTCAGTTGGATAGATTTTTATGCAGCCAGTCCCTTCTATATTCATAGTCTAAGCTGTCTTTTCCGGTTGTGATATGCAAAATTATTATACATCATAATGAAATTCATTCCTGGGAAAAAACAAACCTGTTCACATATGTGCTCTTTTAAGCATGGTCAGATCGAAGCAGCTAAGACACCATCAATCATGGATGTTGAATCTAATGCATGCAATATCATTTTGTAACATTCTGACATTTTCAGCTGCTATGTATTGATTTTAAGCATACATCAGACAAAATCATCAGCAATATCAAAGAGCAAGTCCAAAATTATGCTTTTTATGCAAAGTCAGTTGTTGATGTGTCAGCTTCTGGCTTAATCTCCTCATATAGCAACTGAAGAACTTCATAAATTTCTTTTGCATATTGATTTAATGAACCACCAGCAAGAAATTCAAAAACATGAGAGTCTATCTCAACCCAGCTGCAGCCAGGTGTTTTAGTCACCCCTTTCTCTTTCATCAATTTAAGCATCCTTGCAGATTTGTCCCATCTCTTCATGTATGCATAAATCTTTGAAGAAATAATATAATTACCCGAGTTGGATGGTTCCATATTCAGAATAAGCTCCATGACTCGCTCACCAATCTCAACATTTTTTACCTTATTGCAGGCACCAAGCACTGCACCCAATAAAATCTCATCAGGTTTCTCAGGCATCTTCTCAATTAAGTCCCATGCTTCCTCCACACACCCAGCACGAGACAGAAGATCAACCATGCAAGCATAATGCTCAATTTTTGGAGCAAGACCATAAGATCTCATCAAACTAAAAATTCGGTAACCTTCATCGACCAATCCTGCATGCACGCATGCAGAAAGGACCCCAACAAATGTGATATCATCTGGCTGGTCAACATCACCCCCGGCCAACATATGATTAAATAGAGACAGTGCCTCAAGGGCTCTTCCGTGAAATGCAAGAGCTGATATCATTGCATTCCATGAGGCTCTATTTTTCCTGGCCATGCTTTCAAAGATATGGTGTGCAGAGTCCACACTTCCACACTTTGCATACATGTCAATCAACGCTGTACCGACATATACGTCATGCTTCAATCCTTTCCGTGATGCATATTCATCGATCCATTTTCCAATATCTAAGGCTCCAATAGAGGCGCATGCAGATAGCACCACAATCAGTGTGATTTTATTAGGGTGAATTTCTTCCTCCATCATGGTGTTGAATAATGTAATTGTTTCATCAGAAAATCCATTTTGAGCATATCTGTCAAGCATATAAATAGTATCAAGGTGAGATTGCACAGAAATAAAAAAAATGGATAAGTGACTAAGAAATTATTATCATAGAACAAGAAATACATGAGCAATTACTACCCGAAAAGTTGAAATTTCTCGAAAAGCATCTACTTTTCTAAATTCAAAAGCAGTGAAACTGAACACATGCTTACTTTTCTGTTCCCAAATTTTGTTCTCCAATTTTTTAGTTTTTTTCTGACAAAACAAGAAAATGCGATTTTTAATTTTCAAAAAAAAACTGGTATTTCAAAACTCTAAACAATCATTGATGTTCCCTACCACGATTATTATCCTCTCACCACTATCGTCAGATATCCCACACTACTCACCCACTCTCACACATCGTAACATGTGCAATACAATACCATCATAATCTTTACCTCCTACGATTATCGGAAGCGCTATCATTCGTGTCTATAACACTGATAACCATTAGTTCCGCCAACAACTACTGAATTGCAATGGAAGTTTCCCTCCGACTAGTCCCTTGTGTTATCAGCCTAACAGACACGGCCACTCATTTTCAGGTCTCTATGTTAAGGGGCAGATGTTTTCTAGGTAAGAATATCATATTTCTTATACATTTCAGGTAGGTAGGCATTTTAGAAAGTATAAATAACACTATGAATGTGTGTCACCATGTAATTTCTGATAATGTAATAGATCTGATAGGTTTTCACAATAATGTAATTTACGCAAAAGTATGAAACTCCAGTACAAACTAGGGCATAGATATACATGTATTGCACAGTGAAAAATAATCATTTCAGGGAAAAAGGAGAATGAAAACATATCACACACTTTCCAGAAGTAAGAAAAGAGAGAGGGTTCACCCTGAAATCATTGCATTCCAGATTATTACATCTTTCTTCTTCATGCCATCAAAGATCCTTTTAGCTGAAGCCAAATCACCACATTTCCCATACATATTAATCAAAGCAGAGCCTATATATGAATTTACTTCAATTTTATTTTCTTGAACAAAGAGCTCAATACACCTCCCGAAATTCAAGTCCCCCAAGCCGCCACATGCTCCAAGAACACTCACAAGTGTCATCTCATTAGGTACAACATCCTGATTCTTCATATCCCCAAACAATTCCACAGCCTCTCTGGCAAAACCCATCTGAGAATACCCAGAAATCATCGAATTCCATGACACCAAATCTCTGTCAACAATTTCATCAAACACCTTGCGTGCGTGTCCCAACTTACCCATCTTTGAGTACATCGTAATCAACGAATGGCTAACGTGAAGATCCAAACATAGCCCGTTCTTCACCACCTCACAGTGAGCTAATCTCCCTAGGTCAACAGCCGGAAGACTCCCGCAAGATATGAACACAAAGGGGTAGGTAAAATTATCCGGTTTTAGGCCTACAAACTTCATCTTGCAATAACATTCTAAAGCAGAATCAAAATGCTGCCAAGTAGTAGTGAGGCCTCTGATCATTATGTTAAAACCATACTCGTTGGGGGACGGGATGTGGGAGAAAAAACAATTGGCATAACTGGAGTCTTTCAGCTGAATGATTTTGCGCAGCAGAAAGTTTGGTTTGTGAATGGAGTGAACGAGTAACTGGGCGTGGATTTGTTGGACTTGTTTGGTGGAAACGCATTGTTGCAGGAAATGTAAGAAATTTTCCGTGATGCACAAAAGCAGATTCTGTTGCTTATAGGATACTTCCACAGGGAGGGTAGTGGATCTTAGGAACTGAGAAGACTTGGTTCTAAGAAGCATTTCCTCGTCCAAGCGACCAGTCACGACAGTTGGTGACAACGAAACCGTTTTATTTTTTAATCCAATCCACTCCCAGTTGCTATAGGATGGTCAAATAATCCAATCCACTCCCAGTTTCTAAGCCTGTAGGTCCCCCCCCCCCCTTATGCTTGTATGCTCTCAATACACTGCAGTTGAAGTATAAGATTAACTAGAACACACTGAAATGAAACCAACAGAAAACAAAATCCAGTATCTAGCATGTGATTAATGCAAAAACAAAAGTTTCCACCCTACTGTAGTCCGAGCTTTATCACCCATGACTCATCAGTCATCAAAGCTTAAGTTCAATAACTAAAATTTTAATTTGTAAAAATGAAACTGAAATTCTTTAGAAGGCTGAATCTGTTTCAAAATTCGTAATAAAAAAATGAATTTGTTTCTATAATTCTAGAAAAAATAATTAACATATTTTTGTTCAACTCTTCATTTAAGAAATTTTAAAAACGGAATTTTAGAACAATTAATCCGCAGATTCTTGTTCAACCCTTCATTTTAAAATATTAAAAACGGAAAGAGTTTCATATATAAGTCTGAAAAAATAATCCCACCTCATGGCCTTCACAATTACGAAAAAAAGATTCTGAGAGTAAAAATTCAGACATTGCGCCGTATAAATTATCTTAAGATAATGAAATCAAAATAAGGGTTGGAGTGTTTCATTCCGAAAAAAATAGCAATATTGAGAGTGAAATTAGAGTTCTTACCTTAGGGAGGTCGAGCGAGAGGGAGTCACAGGAAGGAGACGTAGCCGGTAATGGAGTGTCGGCTGGGAACGGGTAGGGGCTGCGCTGCTGCGGCCTTTCTACAGTTTATTCCGTGAGACGGGGAGTCACAGGGAGGGGCTTTTTCCAAAAGCACGAGCACAAAAACGAAATGCTACTTGTACCCTGTACCTACTTTGTAACCTCCGGTTTACACCAACACTTTGTGTTGGTTTAAAACCAATTTTTGTTAATGCATAAACACTTTGTATCCGTGTAAATTTTTGTTAACGCACCAACACTTGTGTCGGTGCAAACCATCAAAATATTTTACCAATGGGGTACAATATGTGGTATAAGTGTAGCATGACCCGCAGTATTTTACCAATTAAAATCACTTCTGGCATCCGAATGACTAAAATGACATGCCTTAGAATGACAAATCACTCTTTTTATTATTGTTTACAACTTTTTAATGTATTTTAATTAATAAAAATGATTTTAATTATTTATTTGATCATAAAAATACTTCTATAACATTTATTTCAAAATAGGAGTATTTTTTCCTTATTATTCAAAAAGATTAAAAAAATCTTATTTTTCCTTATTAAAAAAATTTAAAAATATGTTATCTAATTTATTTAAATGCCTTACAAAAAATAAAGACATTTTTGTATAAAAAAACACCAATCCGTCCGTTCTTCTTATTCCAATGCTTGCTTCACCCTATTTCTTAAAAAAAAAAGAAAATACATGCCTCGCACATGCCTCGACGGGGTAGAACACCCATTCCTCTCCTTGATAATCGAGTAAGTGTATGATGTGGCAAGGCGAGGTAGATGAAAACTCGCCACTGCATAGGCTTTAATGTAACAAAAAGGTACCTCTAGTCCGAATGTCAAGTATCCAGCCGACGACGAGCGTATATGTAACGTTCTATCTAGCTTTTTGGTGTACATGCTACGTTCCAAATAACTTCCAAATTAACTAGTATCA